GTTTTACTCACCCCCGAGGCATCCTAGGTGTATATGACTTTCTTCTTTCAGACGAATCCAGTCGGAGTTATATTAAAATTTGTCTTTGATCTTTCAAGCTGTTTCATGGCACTCAGCGGGTGTTGCATGCATCAGTCCAAAAACACTTAATTAAAATGCGCCCATCCATAAAAAAAAAAAAGTGTCTCACACGGCTCCAGGGGGTGAACAAAGGCCTTCTGTAGCGAATCGATGCGTTTTTGTAAGAAAAATATCCATATTCAAAACGTAATAATCACTTTAATGTAGCTTGCGCTCAGATTCTCTAAATCTGTACCAATAAAGAAACAAACCCGACATGTATGGCCTGAGGGTAAGTAAATTTTCAGTTCGGGTAAACTATTTCTTAATGTTAATTTATTTTTAAATATATATTTCTAATTCAAATATGGTAAACTGAAGTAGTTGCAACCTGGGCTTGGCCTTGAATTTCTTCTCATCAATTCCCACACATTGTACTGTACCAGTATATCAGGTTTCAGCAAATAAGCAGATTCTCAGAACGCCTTCAGAAGTCTTTCTGATGTTAATTGTTTGTGCATTAGAAAGACTTGGGAACTCTCCAAGGAACAGTCTGTTCACGGCAGGGAGATGTCAGATCAGCACGGCTAATTTAAATTTCGAACTGCACAGGTGCTAAATGTATATAAGCTTTTACTTCCTTTTTAGGTCTAAAATCAATCAACTGCTTTGTTGTTTGATTAAAGCGCCAGCCATGCATTTCTATGTGGGTGGCAGCTCTGTGGAGAGAGTGAGGGACGTCAAATGTAGGAATTTGTGACTTGAACAAATGAAAAACTATTAAAATAATTTGTTCGTTTGAAATAGTGCTTCGGTGCATAGCTAATCCAGGACTGTTTGTGCTATGATATCTCAAATTATGTTTGACAAGGAGCCATGCTATTACTTTTCTGAACAATTGTGCTCATAATTGGTCTTAAAATTTAAGGAGGGACCTGAATCACATCTAGAGACCAAATGTGGCCCTGGAGCACAAAACCAGTCTTAAGTCGCTGGGGTATATTTGTAGCAATAGCCAAAAATACATTGTATGGGTCAAAATGATTGATTTTTCTTTTATGCCAAAAATCATTAGGTCATGTAAAGTAAAGATCATATTCCATGAAGATATTTTGTCAATTTCCTACTGTAAATATATTAAAACTAAATTTTT